CCACCAAATCAAAGAGTATGTACATTTTGACATTTCAAATTTACATAAGGACCTTTACCACTATACCTTTGCCAAAATTTAGTAAATTTCCTTAGAATCTGCTTATTCCTGTTGAACTAGTAAAATCAAAAACTGATGTCAGTTGATGATTACTGTCTTTGGGGAATACGATGCTAACTGAAAACTTAATTTTTATAGTCTGTACTTCTTCCATTTAAATGCTTTAATAATAGGGGCACCTGGGTGGCTGAGTCAGTTAAAGCATCTGACTTTGGCTCAGGTCATGATCTCCCGGTTCGTGGGCTTGAGCCCTGTGTCAGGTTCTGTGCTGACAGCTCAGAGCCTAGAGCCTGCTTCGGATTCTATGTTTCCCTCTCTCTCTGCCCCTCCCCCACTCAAGCTCTGTCTCTCTTTCTCTCTCTCTCTCTCAAATATAAACATTAAAAAAATTTAAATGCTTTATAATAAAAAACATATTCTACGGGCACCTTGGGGGCTCAGTCAGTTGAGTCTACTCTTGATCTCGGCTCAGGTCATGATCTCACAGTTCGTGGGATTGAGCCGCACATCAGGCAGGCTCTGTACTGACAGCATTGAACGTGCTTGGGATTCTCTCTCCCCTTCTCTCTCTGCCCCCACCCCCCCACTTGTGTGCACACACCTTCTCTCTCTCTCAAAGTAAGTAAACTTAGGAAAAAATGTATTATATATAATTAGAAAAAAACCAGTAAGTATAGAGTAACGGGAGATGGGGAAAAGTGTGTTCCTAAGCACAGACTCAGGACGCTGAGCTACTGAACTAGATGCAACGGGGCACCTTGGAAATGGGGCTTGGTGCTCTCTACAATTTTAAACCACAACAATTCTTACTGAAGACATCTAAAGTTTACAGTAACAAGTTTTAATTATTTAGAACTCAGTTTTGTATGTAAGCAACAGCAGGTAAGCTGTAATATCAATTAAGAGGGTTGATTTTCTTATGCCCTTTAATAAGATCTAAGTCAGACTTTTGGGTTAATTTCAGGATGCATTTTTTGTTTTTTTAACTGGGAGGAGTTGGGGGGTTTCCAGTAAGGACTGGAAAACCTGACAGACAAATTCTAAAAGAGCTGTAACACTCCGAATGCAATTCTATAGGAAGATAGATGATCTAAGAGGAAGAAACATATAAGGTAAATTTGAATAGCAGTTAGTAACACTGAAATATTTATCATTCATCAGGGCTCAAAAAAGGTAAACTTTTCATTATGACTGCTTTAATTAGTTTGTCATTTTAAACTTAACACGTGTGTCAAGTTTAGAAGACCAAAGAAGCAAACATTTAGTGGTTTGAAACAGTTACCTTTTGAACCAGAAAGAGGACTGCCTTGCTGTCTCCTCTTGGCATCACTGAGAATGTCGATGACCAGTGTGGCAAACTCATGGGCGTTAAACCGAGCTAGTTTCTGTCTGCCCTGAGTGAGAATAATTGGAAATATTTCCACATGTGAAAACATATGCGTCAATATTCACATAAAACCAGTTACACTATCGTCAGATTTCAGCAGACTTCCAAACAGGATCAAAGTACCACCGCAGGTTAATGGAGTCACACATCAATGTTTTCCTTGCAAATAGTCTAGAACCATCTACATAAGAGAACTAGATACCATTTAAATTCTCACAGTGCACATTTCTGAAAAAAAAAAAAAAAACAAAAAACAAAATGTTTCTACCTGATGCTTTTTTCCATTACAATTCAATTTTAGAGTAGACCCAATAATGAAAAATTTGGAAGAAAACTGTAAAACTTCAAGGTAAAGTTAAAAATGCTGGGAACTGCCATTGCCATTAATCAATAAACATTAAAAACCCTTCCCAATTTACTCAACTTTTCTCCTCATTATGGGTGCTTAGGCTGTTTTGAATGTTCTATTATTTTATACAGTGCTTTGAAGAAAATCACTGTGCATAATTCTTTGTATTTTTATTTTACTAGCATATATTCCCAACTAAAGATTTCTGGTGTGAAAGGATGGACTTAATTTTGAGGCTTTTAAAATCAGTTAACAAACTGACTTTCTGAAGTCTACAGCAACAGAAACTCTTACCTGCAGCATCAGAAAGCTCATTTCACCATACCCCTACCAGCTTCAAGTATCCTTTATTACATTCTTTATTAATTGGGTTGATGAAATTTTCATTAATGCCTTTTCATTAATGCTTTCTTGGATCACTAATAAGGTTAAACATTACTTCACATTTGTAAGCCATTTATATTTCCTCCGTGAATTGTTTCATATTCTTTGACAGGCTTCTGTTTACATTTTTTGCTTTTCTTACCAATTTCTTGAGTTTTTTGTGCGCGCGTGTGTGTGTATATACATAAAGGACAATTAACATTTTAATCAAACAAAAGTGTAAAATACCTGTCCTGGGAAAATGAAATACCATATTATCAGCCATTCTCCAAATAACACTACCAGTTCCTTCTCAGATTCGGCCACTTGCCTGATTCCGTGTTGAAGAGTACTCAGGATTGACCGGAAGGAAGGGGACGACAGTTGTCTCGGTTACCAGGGTGCTGTGGTTTTGCGTGGCAAGCCAGACTAGCCAGAGGAAAGAGCCAGAGATAGAATCTTATCACCATGGGTGCGCTACCGCCCCTCTGACAGCCGCGGCTCCCGTGTCATGAGGGAGACTCGGGGAAGCACACTCCGAAACCAACATACACAAAAGTAAATGTCGACACACGCATCATCAGGACAGGAGAAATCAGGCAAGTAAAACACTGAGGTGGGCAGCTTGTCACTGCCCACTGACAAGAGAAGCTTATTAGAAAAAGCCACGTGTTCAGTCACCTGCATCAGTCTCTCGCCTGTCAACTTCATCGTACACATCCATGGCAAGTTCTTCAAACAAATGATTACTTAGCTGCAAGTAAAAAAATATCAGGAACACAAGGGACAAGGATTAACACTAGCAGAATGAGTGGGCATTGTGACTTAATTCACCCTTTGATCTCCAATGTCTTATCCAAAGCCAGTGCTTAGTAAAATACCGACTGTTAAACAGACAATAACATTTCCAGAACAGTACAGCTCCTCTAGAAATTTCTGCCTCCCACAGCAGCCTCACTCCTTTGTAATACGTAGACAGGGGTGTGCTATGAAGGAGTAAGAGGCATCTGAAGTGCACAATCTCAAAAGTAGGGTCCAGTTCTCCACTCTTCGCGTGACATCACCCTTTAAAGTCCCCCTCTTCTGCTCGTGAGCAACTGCCAGTGCCTCTGAATATAAAGAATCCTAAACCCTTGATGGGTAGAGACGCCAAAACATGCCATTCTGAAAAGATAAAACATGCCACCACCGCACAAGCTACCACCCAGACTTCGGCAAGTCTGCTGTATTCTTCAGTAAGCAGGCTTCCAATCCCCCAAACCAAGTGTCCCCAGCAAAAAACACCTGTCTATACTCAGTACATTGTGCAGTGTTGGCCAACAAAACAATCTCCACACTGCCTGGAACGCCTGCCTGGCGGCCACTGGGATAAGCAAAACACTCAGGGTCTTCCTCAAGCCACCTGAGGCTAAGCGTCCACCAGGTGGCTCTACTTCTCTGCACTTTTCCCCTCATAAAAAACACCCAGATGTTTGGTAGCAGTCACTTTTTAGTTGACACTGAATGTCTTTTATTCCTGACCGTATTCCTTACGTCCACCCACAGTACCTGGCACAGAGATGGGGCCCAGGAAATATCCAGCACACGCTGACCAGAAGGTATTTTATGTGGCAATTTAAAATGCTGGCTACACAGACCTTGTGAGAGCTTGCTAAAATGAATACAATTGCTGGATGAAAGAAGCAGGATATAAAATCCTATAATTATGATTGAGCTTCCATTAAAAAAAAATGATAGGCATATGAAACGAGAATTAGAAGAAACATATCAAAATACTGTGCCTGAATCCATTAAGAATACAGTGAATGAAAAGGATTCCCCTTGTCCATTTTCCAAATTTTCTCTAGTGTGGTTAACTTATATTTGTAATTGAAAATAAGCTCTGATAGCTTTTGCTGGATAAGATGACGAGCGACCGGAGACCTAAACTTGCATCACAAATATCGGTCTCTTTCCAATAAGGGGCTACAAGCTAAGATTATTATTACTGACAGTAACTACAACAGCAATACTGAGGGCTCACACCTCAGGTACTGTGCTACTGTCATCATATTAATACTCATGACACTTCTGTGCAGATAGAAACTATGATCATCCCACCCTACAGACAAGGAAATTGAGGCCCAGAAATTAGCAGCTTGCCTAAAGCCACAAAGCCAGCAAGTAATGGACCTGAGATCCAAGTTTAAGTCTCTCCAAATGTTAACGCTTAACTAATTCAAGAAACACATTAGTCTAATTATATTTTTCTCAGTTTCTTATCAGGGAGGGAGATACTGTAGGACAACCACTGAAGTGGCACTGATCAAGCTGTCCCTTGTGAGGAGACCACTGGGTGGGGTCAATAGGTATTGACAGCAGCCTGTCTCACTGAGCAGTTCAGATCTGCAGCCACTGATGGATCGTAAGTCCTGTTCCAGGAGAGGACACCACAGAGCACAAAGGCTAAGGAGCTTGTCAGAGATGAGCTCTCTAACTGACCAGTCTGACCACAGCCCAGGTTCTTGGGATCTGTACTCAACTTTGTTCCACATATTTGTCTAGTGCCTGCCACATGCTAGAGATGTTACAGACATAACCCCACCTTTATGCGGTTTTCAGTCTAGCAAATGTAGGTTAGTTAAGGGAGCCTGAGTATTATCTATAACGTCTGAATTATTTAAAATAAAAATTGGCTTATATACTCTTAAGTAATTAAAATGAAATCACAGACTATTTGGTGCTATCTGATTCCAAAGGTTATCATCTTAATCATGCTACCATATGACCGCCTTAATTTAAGAAAGGTGATAAAACACACAGACACACAAAACCACAGATACAGAACACAGAGACACCAGATTGCATAAAATACATTTATTTCATATCACAAATACTAGTAACGATAGACTCACTTGTATGTCATATTCAGTACTTAGTATTATTTGGAGCGCTAGTGAAGAGGAACGAGGAGAAAGTCCTACATTAGGGGAGAGGTGCAGCTTCAGAGTCAGGCTTGGGGAAACTTCCACCTATACTGTCAAGGTGGTCAGATTTCAGTTACTTGAAAGACAAAAGGGCTGGAAGCTGGGGAAGGAGAAGACTGCAGAAAGACAGGATTCCCGAGAGAGGACCTGAAGGTGGCCTTAGAGAGTGTAAACCCAAAAAGAAACAAACACTTGCGCTTGCACACATGTGTGCATGCACACACACGCACAAACACACACATGCATGTGCGCAGGTACGCAGCGGGAATCAGATGGAAAGCAGGGCAAAAACTGAATGGTGAGAACTGGATGACACTCTTTGAGGTGAAGAAAAGAAGTTAGGAATCTTGTTTCAGATCCAGAGGGCTGTGAGGACAGCCAGAGGCGGGAAATCTGGTGGTTACAGTGGTTGGGGAAGCACCCTGGTGAGGCTCCAACTGGGGGGGGGGGGGCGCCAACAAAGGGAAAGCGCTCCCAGAGAAGCTGGCTGGTCAGGGTCCTGACTAGGGCTGAGGTGGGCAGGCTGGAAAGAAGTATGCAGACCGAAGGGAGCTGGGTGAGCTCTGAGTGCACACCTGGGGCAGGACCACCAGCCCTCGACAGCATGCACTTACAAAGCTCTGATGAATGAAGCGGGCTAAGCAAGACCATGATACTGGCGGCTGGACCCCAGATGGCAGCAGGTGGAGCTGCGGTACTCACCATTCCAGTACCAAATTGTGCCATTCCCTACTGTGCTATAAGGCTACCGGAAGGAATCCTACGAAGTGTGTCCCGCTTACTGTTTTACAGGGAGAGAAACTAAGGAACTCTTATGAAAAGAAACAGCTTCCTAATGTCAAAGGCACAGTCTTCACTTTGAAAACGACAGAGAAAAAACACCATTACTTGAAGCAGAGCCAATAAATTGGATCTACTAAACTTAATAGTACTTCCCATCTTCCTCTCTACATACTCAGTGCTCTGCTTCTGATTTAACAACATCTGAGAGTATGAAAAGTCATCTGATGTAACAGGTAACAGGCTAAGGATAGGAATTAGCAGGATGCATGAACTGAACTCCACACTGAACTTCACTAGGAAACAGAGATACTCACAGATTGAAGCTTCTTCTTAGCAGCTTTTGCCAATTCAGACAAATCCAGGCTGCTAAGAAAATGTACAAAACTAATAAGCACATAAATAAAAACCATTTTTGTGAGCTTGGCAGAAGATTAAGATAGTCAAAGCATCAAGACATTAATTACAGTTCATGGACATGGTCAGAAACAAAAATTCTACAGCCCATTAGAGTTAGTGAGAAAACTCTGAACACAAAAACTTGTAACTCCTTTTAGAAATATCATGCTCAGGTAACATAGTAAAGGGAAAAATAATCACCGGATAACTAAAAGACAAAAACTACTGCCAGGCTAGTCGCCAACCCCTTTATGTGAGAAGTCACAATTCTTAAAGTATTAAAAAAAAAAGCACGACAGAAGGAAATACGAAAAGGGCAGAATGAGAAAAACCAGAAGGGCAAGATTACATCTAGAACAGCAGCTAATCATTTCATAAACTCTTGACAGTATTTGTGCAAAGGTAATTGGTTAAATAAGAATTTCAAGTTCATTCCTGCAGCTGTGAACTCATCTAACCTCACAGACCAGGGGTAGGCAGATTATAGCCCATTTTTTTGTTCGGTTCCTGAGCTAAATGTTTTTACATTCTTACATGGTTTGGGAAAAAAAATCCCAAAACAAAAGAAAAATATTTCATAATGTGAAGAATTCTATGAAATCCACATTTCAGTGTCCAGAAATAAAATCTTCTTGCAACTGATATGCCCTTCATTTACATAACATTCACGGATGCGTGCATCTACAATTGGCAGAATAGTTGTGACAGAGGCTGTGTGGCCCACAAAGCCTAAAATATTTATTATTCAGCCCTTAAAAATTTTGTCAGTCATGGTTATAGACAAAGAATATCTTCTATTACAATACAGAAATATTCTGAGATATCTATAGACACAATACACTGTCCCAACTGGCTAAAATTGGGACATCCCTAACTCCAATTTTCTTACTAGTAAATTTGGTACGTGTACTCTTTCAAGTTTAAGTTTTACATGGTGGTTTACTTACAGCCGTCTTATTTCCAAATTGTATAGCCATAAAAGAGAAAAATGTATGGGCTTTGTTAAATACAAAATATAATACACTTAAACACTATACAACCAAGGAAATAACAGTGACAGATAAAATCGATTGGTATTTCAACAGCCTTACCTGTCTGCCATTTGAGGTATTATAAAGTGCTGTCCATTTTTGTGATCTGAAAGAGAAATCAAGCCAAAGTTTTGGTCATACAAACACTGATAGGATATATAAAGGAACACCATAATTATTTTTTCAATTTACATTTTGCAATTAGCATTTTCTCATAATTAGGAATTATGTGGGAGGGGCAGAGGTTGCCAGTTTGGCTACAAACTCCCTAAGGCCTGGCCAGTAGCAAGAATCACAGTCCCATTTTCAACTGATACAAAGGTCCAGACACCATTAGGCAGAAAGGTTATGTTCACGTTAATCCTACACTTCATCCATCCCCAGTATAACTGATGACCTTTAGTTATGGACAGAACTTGTGGGGAGCTGAATTAGCTCAGAGCAAGCTTCCATCAGCTCTCCATGTGGGATGGGGGAGCACCCTTGGGGTCTTGTGGCTCACCTTCAAATTAATCAATTAGCATAAAACCCTCAGGGCTGAGGGAGGCGGTCGTGGCAGATCCAGGCAGGGTTTAATGACCTAGTCCTCACCTAGGTTTTGGAGGGCACTGATCACATGCCAATGAATAAAAAGCCATTCTATGCATTCACATATAGGTTTTTGTGTAACTATCAGTCTTTATTTCTCTTGGATAAATAGCTAGCAGTGGGACTGCTAGGTTGTGGAGGTATTAGGTCAATGTGTGCACAACTTGGTAAGAAACTGCTAGACTTTTTGACAGAGTAGCTCTATCATTTTGTTTTCCAACCAGCAGTGTATGAGAGTTACAGTTGCTTCATATCTTCCCATTCAGATTGTCAGTTTCTTAGGTGTTTTTAAATTTCAGTCATTCTAAAAGGCGTGTAGCGGTACCTCACTGTGCTTTTAATTTGCATCTCCCTAATGGCTGATGATGCTGAGCGCCTCACTTCATGTGCTCATTTGTCATCTGGATATGGTCTTTGCCCGGTTTTTATCGGGCTGTTTGTTTTCTTACATTTGAATTTTATATATTTAGGTATAAATACTCTGGATCCAAGTTCTTTGTTGGACATGTGATTTCCTAGTATTTTCTCCCAGGCTGTGGCTTGTTTTTCACTCTCTTAATTACAGTTTTTGCAGAGCAAAAGCTTTCAATTTTGACAAAGTCCAATTCATCAGTATTTTCTTTTATGGATTGTGCTTTTATGTTACATCTAAACACTTCACCTAATGCAAGATCACACATTTTCTTCTAGACATTTTATAGTTTTACATTTAGATCTATGATCTATTTTTAGTTTTTACGCCAGTGTGGGAGGTACTGAAGTTTCTACTTCTGCACGTGGATGTCCAGTTCCTCCAACACTGAAAAGACTATCTTCCTCCACTGAATTGCCTTTGCAACTATCCAAAATCAACTGAACATATTTGTATGTCTACTCCTGGATGCTGTCTACTGTTTCAAAGACTTGTATGTCTGTCTCTTCACCATCTGAGTACAGCAAAACTTGACAGCAAGAGTTAAAATTGGATGGTGTGATTCTGCCCACATTCTCCTTCTTTTGCAAAATGGTCTCTTGGCTATTCTAGTTCCTCTGCCTTTCCATGTAAATTTTAGAATCAGTACATCCAAGTATGCAAGAAAATCCTTGAATTACACTAACTTTACAAATTAATTTGTAGAGAAACGACGTTAACTCTATTGAGTGTTCCAACCCATGAACAGTTCTCTTTCCACTTATTCAGGTCTTCCTGGATTGCTTTCAGCATTTGGTAGTTTTCAGCATGCAGATCCCACAAATATTTTGCCAGATTTCTACCTAAGCTTCCAATGTGGAGCTATTATAAATGTTACTGTTTTTCTAGGTTCAGTCTCCAATTATCCAATGCTAATCTACAGAAGTATGATTGATTTTTGATTGCTTCCCTTGTATTCATTCTGCAACCTTGCTAAACTCACTTATTTGTTCTAAGAACTGTAGATTCCTTGGGATTTTCAACATAGAAACCATTCATTTATGATGAATTGTATCTGTTTCATTCCAATCTATATGCCTTTTGTTCTTCTTGCCTTATGGCACTGGTTAGGATTTCCAGTCCAATGTTGAATAAGAGTGGTAAGAGTAGACATCTTGGCCTTGTTTCTGATAGTCAAGCAAAAACATTCAATCTTTCGTCATTAAGGAAGATGTTAGCTGTGGGTCTCTACAGATACTCTTTATCAGGTTAAGGAAGTCCTTTCTATTCTAAGTTTGCTCTTTTCTTATCATGAAAGAATGTTGAATTCTGTTACATATTTTTCTGTATCAACTGATAAGATTGATGACTTTTTTTCAGTCTGTTAATGTGATAAATCACATTAAATGATTTTCAAATATTTAATCAGTTTTGGCATTTAGAAACCTTACTTGGTTATGATACATATATATATATATATATATATTGATCTGCTAACACTTTGTTGAGGATTTTGGTGTCCATGTTCACGAGGGCTATTTTTTTGTGCTGTTTTTGCTGGGTTTGGTACCAGGGTAACGGTGGCTTCACAAAATGACTTCAGAGGTGTTTCCCACCTTTTATTTTCTAAATATCATGCAGAATTAATGTTATTTCTTCTTCAAATACTTGGTAGAATAGTTTCATTTAATGTGCAAAACCTGAAAAGTGAATTCCTAACACTTAAAAATACCCATTAAGTATCATAATTGCAAAGCTAGCAAATCACATGAGTCATCAAGCATATCTGTTGTATAGTTATATGGCAACACCACTTCAGCTAGTTCACAGTACTTAACAGTGAAATCATCTGGGTTGGGGTTTTCTTAAATGGAAGATTTTAAAGTACAAATTCAAATTCTTTAAAATGTAAGATTATGGATTTACATGATCTCTTTCTTATTGGGTGGTGGTTGGTAGTTTGTGGTTTTCAAGGAATGGTTACTTTTTTTTTAAGTTTATTTATTTTGAGAGTGGGAGGAAGGGAGAGAGAGAGACAGTGAGTTCACATGCATGAGCGAGCAGGGAAGGGGCAGAGAAAGACACCGCGTTGTCAGTGCAGAGCCTGACACAGGGCTTGAGCTCACGAACCGTGAGATCATGACTTAGGCCAAAATCAAGAGTCTGACACTTAATCGACCGAGCCACCCAGGTGCCCCAGGAATTGGTTAATTTTATCTAAGTTGTCCAATTTGTGTGCATAGAATTATTTATAATATGGGTAGACCTTTATCAATTTCATTGAAATTTTCAAAGAATCAGCTTCTGGTTTCATTAATTTCTCTCTACTGCTTTCCTTTTTCAATTTCATTGATTTCCACTCTTATCTATTATTTCCCACCTCCTACTTGCTTAGAGTTTATTTTACTCATCTTTTCAGATGAGTAAGCAGTAAGAAACTCATAGTTTCTTAAGGGGAAAGCTTAGGTTGAGGACCTTTCTTGTGTTCTAATATAAGAATTTAATACCATAAAATTTCCTCTAAGCATTGCGTTAGCAGCATCCCTTAAATTTCGGCATGTTGTACTTTCATTCATCTGAAAGTATTTTCTAATTTCCCTTAAGAGTTCCTCTTAGACTTATATTTAGAACTGTGTTGTTGGGCACCTGGATCGCTCAGTTGGTTGAGCATCTCACTCTTGATTTTGGCTCAGGTCATGATCCAAGGTGGTGGAATCGAGCCCAGCATTGGGCTCTGCACTCTGTGTGGAGGCTGCTTGGGAATTCTCTCTCCCCCTGCCCTTCTCTAACTTGTGCTTTCCCTCTCTCTAAAAATAAAAAATAATAATAATAAAAAAGAAGAACTGTGTTGTTCATTTCTAAGCATCTGGTTATTTCCAAGTTATATTTTTATTATTTAT